TAAAGGCAAATTAGGATTCATACACACACATCAGCAACTCTGCCGCCTACTGCGGAAAACTTGACAGGATCCTCCTGACAAATAATCTTGAGACTCGGCGAGGCTTTCCTAGGCAAACGCGCATCATCCTAATAGTATTAATAATGGTACTTGAAACAAAAAAAAACGCAACACTCCTGGATGGTGATATCCTGCAGCTGGGTGAATGCAATGTTGTGTGGAAAAGCGCATTCCAACTCGTGTGTGTGGGTAAGAATAATATCACTTGAACGGATCTCAGCAGTAGTTCTTTGACGTCTCCTTGCACGGGCTATTCTCTAACACGGACATATGTTCTTCAGCGCAATGGGAATACAATTCGGAAGAAGACGAGACAAAAAACAGAAATTTAATTATTTTGTTAATTGACGGCCTTCCTCAAGGCCGCACGCCCATGGCTCTCCACCCAGCGACCAAGACCCCAACACTCCCAAGACTCAAGCCGAGGCCGGCAACGAAAAATCCCAAAGCTCCACTCCTGAGCCACTTCCCCGCCTCCCTCCGAGCAGAGACCCCGGCGCTCGTGAGTGAATTTCAGGCGTGGGAACGACTCTTAAGAGGTTTTTTTTCTTATTCGTCTCGTAGCCATGTGGGTTCCTGGTTAAGTGGCCATGGGGAGGGGGGGGGAGGAGGGGGCCCATAAAGGAAGTCATTGAGGGGGGCCACAGCTGATGGCTTGCCAACCCTGTGGAGACGTTTCGGGGAGGGTGGGGGCAGCTACGCTCTTGCCCCCCCCCTCCCCACCACCCACTCCACACCGTTACCCCCTTGAGTGTCTTACAATCCATCTCCTATCTGCATAATGGTGTGGGAGCTCATTGAGACATGATGTGGCCTGGTTCCCTCTGTGGTTGTAAGGGCCGTGGTCTGCCAATATCTGGTGTCCTGTAACAAAACAAGGATTACCGCTCTTTTCCATTTCATGCCTGAACTGTTGAAAACTCGTCTCGCTCCCAGACCACCCCACACGCGCGCGCCTCTTACAAGGGAGATCTGGGATACGGCCTACAGGGGGCATGTTTTATTTTTATTTTTAAAAAGCATCGCTCAAACGTTTACCGCGCAAAATTAACAACGGTTTAAAATGTATCCAAAAAAATCCATCAACGCGCACAACAAACCCATTGTGAACGCAACAAGTGGCAGCAACAACAACAACAACGGGCACAGCCTCACGCGAGCTCAGCCTCGCCGCCGTCTCCCTTTGAAGGGCCTGGTCCGACTGTGGCAGCCGCGCAGCTACGGAGATTGTAAAGCGGGGGGCCCACGGTGCAGGGGGGCCCACGGTGCAGGGGGGGCCCACGGTGCAGGGGGGGCCACGGTGCAGGGGGCCCCACGGTGCAGGGGGTAGTGTAGCGGCTAGCGCGCTGCGCCATGAACCCGGCGACACGGGTTCGATTCCCGTTCATGGCCAACACCAGTGACGATTATCTGAACCGGTCCCGGGCCTCCCCTAGGTCGACTCAGCCTCAAATGAGTACCTAGTGCAGTGTTTAAACATTGCCACTAGGGGGAGACAAAGGCGGCCGGGCGTGGTGCTGGCCACCCACCCCCTCGTGTACCGTTACCGGCCTTCATAGGTGCTCGCTAACAGCACTTGTCCCGACAGTATGTTAAGGCTATATGGGGGATCTTTGTCTTTTGTGTGAGCCTGTGAGTGTGTGTGAGTGAGCCTGTGTGTGTGTGAGCCTGTGAGTGTGTGAGTGTGAGCCTGTGTGTGTGTGAGTGTGAGCCTGTGTGTGTGTGAGAGTGTGTGAGTGAGTGTGAGCCTGTGTGTGAGTGTGAGCCTGTGAGTGTGTGAGTGTGAGCCTGTGTGTGTGTGAGTGTGAGCCTGTGTGTGTGAGCCTGTGAGTGTGTGAGTGTGAGCCTGTGAGTGTGTGAGTGTGAGCCTGTGTGTGTGAGTGAGCCTGTGTGAGTGTGCGTGAGTGTTTCGGAGGGGCAGGAGGCGAGGGGGCAATGTCGAGAAGATGAAAGCGAGGTTGGACAAGGCCCAGCATTGTGTTGGACGCGAAGACGCAGGGAACACAATCCACACGTTTACTCGTGTGCACGGCCGTGTGTGTATGTACAGGGCCGTGTGTGTACGTACAGGGCCGTGTGTGTACGTACAGGGCCATGTGTGTACGTACAGGGCCATGTGTGTATGTACAGGGCCGTGTGTGTACGTACAGGGCCATGTGTGTACGTACAGGGCCATGTGTGTATGTACAGGGCCGTGTGTGTATGTACAGGGCCGTGTGTGTACGTAGAGGGCCGTGTTTGTACGTACAGGGCCGTGTGTGTACGGACAGGGCCATGTGTGTATGTACAGGGCCATGTGTGTATGTACAGGGCCGTGTGTGTATGTACAAGGCCGTGTGTGTATGTACAGGGCCGTGTGTGTACGTACAGGGCCGTGTGTATACGGACAGGGCCATGTGTATATGGACAGGGCCATGTGTGTACGGACAGGGCCGTGTGTATATGTACAAGGCCATGTGTGTGTGTACAGGGCCATGTGTGTACGTACAGGGCCGTGTGTATATGTACAAGGCCATGTGTGTGTGTACAGGGCCGTGTGTATATGGACAGGGCCATGTGTATATGTCGGCGTATATACAATGGGGAGCGGTAGTGTAGCGGTTAGCGCGCTGCGCTACGAACCTGGCGGGCCGAGTTCGATTCCCGCTTACGGCCAACACCAGTGACGAATATCTGAACCGGTCCTGGGTCTCCCCTAGGTCGACTCAGCCTCAAATTAGTACCTCGTGCGGTGTGTAAACATCACCACTCGGGAGACAAAGGCGGCCGTGCGTGGTGTTGGCCACCCACCCTCCTCGTGTGCGATGCCGGCCTTCATTAGGTGCTCGCTAACAGCACTTGCCCCAACAGTAGGTTGAGGCTATACGGGGATCTCTGTCTTTGTGTGTACAATATATGGGGCGGGAGTCTTGGTGCAGTGGTTTCAGAAGTACGCAATGGCTAACATCTGATCCGGTTGAGGGTATCCCACTCACCAGCGTGGTGAAGTATGGTCAAACAACCCACATGACTTACTCAGGAAGGAAGTACTACTATTCACCCATAGAGCTATGTAGCTCTATCCCAGTAATAACCAAAGTCTGCTTAGCTTCTGAGAGCTGATATGACGTACATCTCTTTGTCAATCCACTGCTGGATGGTGGCAAGATGTTAACTCCCTCGCCTGGTATGCAGGAGGCCGTGGGGGTTCGATCCTGACCCTGACGCCTGAATGTTTGGAGTTTGCGTGTCTCTCTCCACATGGTCACGTGGATTTTTCTCTGAGCCTTTCCGATTTTTCCCTCCGCATTTAGAAACAGGCACTGGTCGTGTTTGGGGGCTGTACATTTCCACGCGATAAGCCACTTTGTTGACCTATCAATTGTGGCCAGGTCGCTTCTGAAAAAGAGCTGTATATCTCACAAGGCCTTACTTGGTTAAATAACAAAAAATGTTTTTAGCTGAAGACCAGCGCGGTGAAGTATGGTCAAACAAGCCCCATTACCGACACCGACTTGAGGAGGCCTTCATCCAGCAATGGATTACCCAAAAGACTGTCACGCATTTACATAAACCCGACAAATTGTTAAAAGCCACTGAGTGTGTGCGTGCAGACACTGTGGGAATGTATTGGTGTATTGTGAATGCTGGTAGTTGTAATGCTGTGTGTGTCTGCAGGTTATATATAGGAGGCTGTGTTCTTTGTTGCGTGGCGATGTGGCTCATACGCTTGGCATGCCCCCCCCACTCCCGAATACAAATGCCCCCTCCTCTCTCCACGATGTCTCAGTGATTCCGTCACTTCATGTCTGAGCCGCTTGTCAGCGCGAGGAGACAAGAGCTGTGTTTGTGTGGCCCGCCTCCACGTTACGCACTGTTTCCACAATCACCACCACGATCAGCACAGCCACCACCATCACTACCACAATCAGCACAGCCACCACCACCGCCACAACCACCACAACCACCACAATCACCACAATCACCACAATCGCCACAGCCAGAACCACCACCACAATAAACAAAGATCCCCCGTGTAGCCTTAACAGACTGTTGGGGGCAAGTGCTGTTAGCGAGCACCTTTTAAGGCCGGCACGGCACACGTGGGGGTGGGAGGTCAGCACCACGCCCGGCCGCCTTTGTCTCCCCAGTGGCGATGTTTACACATAGCACCAGGTACTAATTTGAGACCGAGTCTACCTAGGGGAGGCCCAGGACCGGTTCAGATAATCGTCACCGGTGTTGGCCGTGAGCGGGAATCGAACCCGGGTCGCCACAAGCACTTGTCACCACCACCGCTTCACCTGCCACCACCTCCGTGTGTATGTATGTTGAACTCCTTTCGCACCGTACGTAGCCAAGCGTGCTAATAGCCACCAGGCACCACAATCTTCACTGCCACCACTATTGGCGCAACCACCATCAACAACACGTTCACTCCACTACGCAGGTGTTTTCGCTTACCCTTACACGAACGCCACGGCCTATGTTATAACATACAACACACGTGCCCTTTATTAACCCAGACGAGAACCGAGTGGTATACTGGATGTGGTGTGCCAGACGTGGAACTGTTTTCCGGGGTCGCTGATCCGGACAGACCTGGCTTGAATTAATCCCTGCCTCGCGGCCCGTGGGGGGAATAACCTGGTGGTGGCCAGATTGTCAACCCTGTCGTGTGACCTTGCTTAAAAGGGGGGAGGGGGCGGGGGGCAAACATTCAGGGGACGGAATTGGAGCACGACGAAACCAATGTTAAACAGAGCGAGTAACGATATACGATCGGCTCTTACCTATCGTGCATGCTGCTGTTCTAGCTCTCACTGCCTGTGTACAGTCTACGGGGGAGGGCTGTATCAACTTTTTTTAAACTATACTGGTTGGGGGAGCCCAACCCAACCCAGCTATCAGCAGGAGGGGGTGCTGAGCCCCCCTCCCCCCCCCACGACTCCGGCGAGTACCTGAAGGCTGGTGGCGAGCTGGCGGATGTAGAGCATATTCATGTCCTCCACGATGCGTATCGTGTCCTCGCGGCACAGGGCACCCCGCTCGGCCGGCATGGTCCTCCCGCACAGCAGGGACAGCATGGGGCTCGCCCGGGACACGCCGGGGCAGTCTCTCCGCGTGTCCGTCTACCGCTGTCTGGCTTCTTGGGCTCTTTCGGTCGTCCGTCTGGCTTGGCTGTCTGGCTGTCCGATTGGCCGCTTGGCTGACTTGTTATGTGGCTCGCTGTCTAGTTGTGTGTCTAGCTGTATGTCTGCGTGGATATCTGTCCGTCTGGCTCCCTCATCGCCTAGCTATATGTGCGTGTTCATCTGCCTATTCGTCCATCTGTCTTGCGTATTCGACTGTGTCTGTCCGTCTACCTGCCCATCTATCCATGCGTCTGTCGAGTCGTCTGCCTGTCTGTGCGTCTATCTTTCACTGTCGGTCAATCGCATCCGCCGAGGAGCACACACCTTCCACGGCAGGCGGACACCACACAGGGGAAGACACCTGCACCTCACTGCAGCTCGCTGGTCCAAACTCACGGGATTATCATTCACCCACGTGGTCAGATAAGATGAAGAATAACGCGCACACAACCCCCCTCCCCAACGCCACCGCGGACAGCAACCGTGCAGCAACTTTCGTGGACCGCGAAGTCCGGTAGCTTCATCCTACCCGGCAGCAGCTGCTGCCAGGTAATCGGGGGCCTAAATCCAAATCTTCTTTACGCCGAGTCAAGGTCCTTTGCGAGCGCTTGCGAGGCTTTCTTGAGCAGCTAAAGCCACGTGACCACCCTAAGCCCTCCTGGTTTTCGTCATCGCTTCGATTTGTTTGAAACACTCGGAAACAACAAAACAGCCTTCGCCTGCACCGATGCATCGGTAGCCCCTCGCTCACCCACGGTTAAACAACCACCGACGTCGCTGCTGCAGTCAGGGTCCATAGATCGCTCAATGATCGACAGGGGCACCTCTTCAATTCTTTCTCGCCGTCATCATCATCATCATTGCTTTCGTCACCTTATAACCACCCCCCCCATCCCCCCCCCCCACGAGCATCGCCGCGCTCCGCGTGCCGCCAAACTCTCTCGCCAGCGCCGCTGGAGCCGGGCAGTGACGGCGGAGAGGAGACGAGACTTAGGCCGCCTTCTATGTTTAGACACGCGCAGCTGTGCTCGCTGTATATTTATGCCAGGATTCTGAGCACTCCCCCCCACCCAACCTACATCCCCTTCTCTTCCCCTCTTCCTCCTCCTCCTACTCCCGTTAAAGTTCCATCCTGCTTCTCACCACCACCCCCACACACACACACCGCCTCGCCCCCCTCTCGCTAAGCCAAATTGTTAATAACTCCGCTGCGTTTCGCAGTTCCTTCCCAGTTGTCAGCTCGCTGCCCCGGCGTTGTTGATGAACATCGCGCATCGCGGCCGGCCGCTGCACTCACCGATATTAATAACATCGCCGCTATTGCCCCGACTGCCTGCCATCGCTAACGTCGCAGTCATCGATAACGACTGCATGAATCTACGCACGCCGCAACCACGGCTGCCATCACTGGCACGATCGTCACTACGGCTACTGTGCTTACGCATGCACGTGCGTTGAACTTCTTTCGCACCGTACGTAGCCAACCGCGCTCATCGGAGGTGCTACTGCAGCTGTCACCACCACCACCATCACAATCACCGCTGCCACCACGAACTAACAACCATCACCAAAATGACCACCACTACAATCGTCACAGAAACCATCACTACTACCACCACCACAATAACCGACATTCACTGCCGCCGCCACCACAATCACCCGCACAGCAACCAACACCAAAGATCCCCCGTGTAGCCTTAACAGACTGGTGGGCCAAGTGCTGTTAATGAGCACGCTACCACCACCACAATCACCGCCACCACGGGGCATCCGGAGGCCCCCCCCGCCCCCATTACTCATGACCCCCCACCGTCCCCTCCACACTTAAAGCGGCTCTCCATAGGTTTCGCAACTTCTCGGGACTCTCGATCAATGAGCCACCTTGTACAATCCTCCCCCACTAGCACCCCCCCCTCTCCCATTAGCCCCCTCCCCCCCGATAATAATAATAAAGCTCTCCCGCTGCCAGTCGTCGCACAGACCACAGCACCCAACACTCAATCTCCCACACAAAGCCACGCGGACAGCCCCCTCTGCCCCCACCCCCCCGCGCCGTTCGCTCGCCGCTTGGTTCAACAACGCAACTCACCACAGGAAGGGGGGGGGGCACTGGGGGGAAGGGGGGAGGGGCACGGGGGAGGGAGGGGGTGCTTCACATCACAAGAAGGTGACACATTTTTTTTTTGCGGCTTGACTGCTCCGCTTCTCGGTGCGCGCTCTCCGTTTGCCTCGACTCTCTTTGCGCTCGCGGTTCGCGCACAGCTGGGCGACTTTAACCGGGGCGCGCCCGCAAAGCGATCCACTGAGAGTCGCCTCGAGCGACGATGGGGTAACTCATTGAGCCAAGCGAGGCGCTCGTTACTCGCTCGCTTGAGTCACAGAGGGGGGAAACCCCCCCCCCTCCCCCTACACGCATGAGACTTACCCCACCCCCTCCCCCCTGCTGTCGTGGTGGCGATGGAATTCAGGTCAGCTGCGACCCTCTGACCCCTCCGTTGGACCCTGTGGCTCAGCGTATCACCACGGAGTGGGGCGCTTGACGTGCCGTTCACATGTTTAACTTGGTTCTGATAAACATTACACGGATTTCCCTCGCCCCCCCCCCCACCAAATAAGACGTCAATATCCGCGAATGTTTAGCAAAACATCTTCATTGTGTTCACATAAAAAAATATAAACAAAAGTTACCTGTTTTGTTTTTCCATACAAATTCAAGACTCTTCAACGTGTTTTTTTTGTTCCGTATTTCCCCTCCCCGTGGATTTTGAAATTAATTATTGTTTACCATCCAGGGCCGTACACAAAGACAAAGACCCCCCGTATAGCCTTCGCAGGCTGGTGGAGCAAGTGCTGTTAGCGAGCACCTACGAATGTCGACACGGTCACACGAGGGGGTTGCTGGTCAGCACCACGCCTTGCCGCCTTTGTCTTCCTAGTGGCGAAGTTTACACACCGCACCAGGTACTCATTTGAGGCTGAGTCGACCTAGGAGACGCCAAGGACCGGTTCAGATAATCGTCACTGATGTTGGCCTTGAGCAGGAATCGAACTCGTGTCGCCGGGTTCGTACTGCAGCGCGTTAACCGTTACACTATCGCTACCCCCCCCCCCCCCCAACAAACACACCCGTGCATACGCATTCACATTCTCTGTTCACTACACAGGCTGCACGTCTTGACGTCAAATTAAAACCTGAGACGCGACCGTCAAGGACTGTGCACGTGTTTAAACTCAGTGTTCCAATCCACCCACGTTCACGTCTGGGAAGAGAAAGGGGGTCAGAGCGAGAAGGAGAGGTTGGCATGAGTGAGTGTGGGGCAGAGGCGGCGTTGGAGGGGGAGGGATGCCTCCGACCATGTTGGGGGTGAAATTAAGAAAGCCCCGTTAATTTGTAAGTTATTATTTTTGTTGGCTCTCAGAGGCGCCGATTTGTGAGCTCGTCAAGGGGCTGGGTGTGGGGCGTCAGCTGCCGCGATTTGAGCTCTCGTGGAGCACAGCGAGGGAGTTTTGGGATTCCGAGACAAAGATGTGGCCAATTATTTTCTTCATAAAATCCTTTCTTTGTATTTTTTTCTATTTTAGTACTCCAGCCTTTTGCCAACGGCTTCGCGCCATCAGACCAAGCGATTGTGCGGAAACTCTCGCGTAGCAGTCGGTCGGCAGTAGAAGTGGACGTGACATAACTACTTCTGAGATCTTCTGATGCACACTAGAGGGCGCTGCACTTTTATCACGTGCCCTGCTGCAGAGACGCTCGTCGCAGGGCGCTCAAAGCGCATTTTACTTTTGTAGATATCACTGCTGGAATATTTGGGCAATTAAGAGTAAAAAAAATAATAATCCCAAATGTATATTTTTTTGTGTGTGTGCACTCATTGATGAGCCCATCAACCTAACAGAACCCAGTTTTATCACAGGCAGCTGACACCGTGATTCGAACTGAGGATCTCCATAATGAGAGAATAAAAAAGAATAAATTGGAATGTACAAAATTGCAATCATCGCCCCTACCGCAAAAAATGTTATCAGGACCCGCATGAGAAAGAGTTACGAGACTCGGAATAATAATAATCTCAGGATAGCTGGCTCAATGTATCAATTCCTGAGCGAGTCAGCTGTTTAGGCTCTGCAGGCTTTCATTGTAATGAGCTCTGCTACAAACGGCAACGAATGTTGAGGTCTGGACTTGAATGTGTAAGTAACGAGATGAACCTAAATCATTACCACTCAAAACAACCCCAGTGAAGTTTATTGTAAAACTAAAAGACTATTATGATGAAATTTTAAATACCGTTATCTTCAATCGCAGCCAATGTTACATGGCGAACCACATTAGCGATGCAGTAATTGAGCACAATAAATAATATCACAGGCAATGGCGGAGCCAGGATTTTCAGGTAGGGGGGGCAACCCCTCCAGCAATGAAAAATGATAGGAGTTGTTAGTATATAAGGAGTTGTTAGTAAGTAAGGACTTGTGATCGGCATCGCGCTCGCTGAAGGTGTTGATGCCTTCAGGGAAGTCGTGGACTGGATACGCAACTGCGCACAATTCTGTGAGTCACTTATAACTGCTTTGCCGTTACTTATTGCCAATTTTGGAGTCAGACTATTGTCCTATCATCTCATAGAGTCCCTGGCACGTCATAATATGCTTCACAGTGGCAGTGGGGATCGCAAAATTCCGATTTATTACTAATAAACCCCAATGATCCGATCGAAATGAGGGATTTCGATCAGACCATTGGGGGGGGGGGGCACGTGCCACCCCCCCCCCCCCCCCCCCCCCACTGGCTCCGCCAGTGATCACAGGTCACCGATTAGGCTTAATCACACATTCGCGTGCCAGGAATATGGAATGTCAATTGCAATCTGATCGTATACGTTAACGATGCAATTTGTGCATTGCTATTAATTCTGTTTATTTATATTTATGCAGCAACATTCAACATCGGAGTCAATCTGTCCTCTCCGCCCGCCCCCTCCCCCAGTTACCCCCCCCTCTCCCTCCAACTGAATCGAACTTTTGTAGCCCTGACCTCCATTAATGGCCATCAGCCAGTGCTGCTAATTCCACATTGCGATGATGGGGGCAGGCTAAATCGTAGGGCAATGTATTCAGCGTCCCGTTGCGCATAGTTTTTTTTACGTCACTACGCAACCGCCGATATAATCGATTATTGCAACGCACGGAGAATATAATTTTGTAAACAAGCCTGGCTAAAAAGCTAACCCCCTGTACAGTACTACAGTGCATATTTTCCTAATAATGGACTGAAAAAAATCCCTCACGTGAAGAATGGTTGAGAAAGCGACATTTTTGGAATATTTGCTTGAAAGTGGGCCATTTCCTCCTCAAATTTGAGCAGTAAAATTCCCCTTCAGCTCAGACAGCCCGCGGGGGGGGGGGGGGGGGGGCTCACGTGCACACCCTTGCTGGATGCACCGTGATCTCACGCAGCGCTTGGAACGCGGAGCGGCCTTGGAACTCTCTGGCCTTGCGTTTCACAAAGCTGGGATGGATGGGTGGGACCCAACAGTCATAGCCGTAGAGTGCCCATTCGAGCCAGGGGTTCCATATGGTAGTCGCGAGGAATTATACCACAGGGACCCATCAGACACGATGCAGATCGCAACATTAGGAACCCATCCAGTGGCGTAGCTATCGAGTGTGCAGGTGGTGCAACTGCACTGGGGCCCCACAGAGAGCGTGGGTGGGGGGAATGTTAAATTGCACCAGGGCCCATGCCAACCATGCTATGCCACTGACACAGTGAACCATCAAACACAGTGATGCATTGTACACGAGGACCCACCAGCCACAGTGACCCATCGGACACAGTGACCGGAATCAGAAACACAGTGACCACTTACCAGACACATTGACCACCCATCAGAAACACAGTGACCACTTACCAGGCACAATGACCACCCATCAGACACAGTGACCTTCCATCCATCTATATGCATGATTTTTCTTCCTTGGCTAAACTTGTAAAATGTTTATCGGCTTGAGTCCTAAGGCGCTTCGGGATAATTAATGTGTGTGCAGACGCACACACGTACATTTGTGTGTATGTGCGGGGCCACGTGATGGGTACAGAAGAGGGGAGTGCCGCCACATACATTGTTGTACCGCACTTCTACGCTCCTACGTCCGTGCTCCCCACCTCTTTACCCACGCTGACAGTGTGGCGGTGAAGTATGGTCAGCTAACCCCTACGACCAGCACGCATGTGGGCAATACGAGGATCTTTGTCTTTGTAAAAATATATAGCCAAACCAGACTGTTGGGGCAAGTGCTGTTAGCGAGCACCTACACTGTTCAAACTGTTCTAAATAAACTGTTATGAAGGCCGGCACGGTACACGAGGGGGTGGGTGGCTAGCACCACGCCCGACCGCCTTTGTCTCCCCAGTGGCGATGTTTTTCCGCACCGCACCAGGTACTAATTTGAGGCTGAGTCAACCTAGGGGAGGCTCAGGACCGGTTCAGATAATCGTCACTGGTGTTGGATGTGAGTGGGAATCGAACTCGGGTCGCGAGGTTCGTAGCGCAGCGCGCTAACGGCTACACCACCACTCCCCACTTTCTTTGCACCCACACACACACGGGCATTAGCGACTCTTCTGTGCTGATGAGTCCTAATGAGTGTCAAACCGGTGCGCAGCGGTCGAGCACTGC